CACTGATGCCGTTTACTCAACCAGCGCAGCGGTTCTTGCCGTCTTTTTCGAACTGTAGCTTCCTCTCAGTTTGCGCAAAGTTTGTTGTAATGGCCGACAAGAGTCCACGACCAGTTCGCCGCAAAAGAAAGTCAGTTTTTGATGTCGCGGGAAGAAGAAGAGAAAAGGAGCAAAGCACAACATTTAAAAAAGGGCAAACAGTCGCTGCATTTCTCTTTCCTTGGAAAATCTTCTATACGACCTTTAAGCTGCATGGAGATTTAACCTTTAACCTGCTTGTCTATCATTTTCTTTCTAGTTTGCTCGGCTTTGTAGTAGGTCGATCATTTTGACTTGGCCATTTTAAAAGTAGCTCATATGCTGAAAAAGTGTGGACACCTCTGAAGTACAGGATTTTTTTTTACATGTTTTTATTGTTGAAAAATACTGCGATTAAAAAAATTGAGAGATTAATTAATTATGATCTGTAATTAATTAATCTAATTAATCTCATTTTAAACTCACCTAAAAATTGCTGAGAAAAGCTTCAATTTGAGGTATTTTCATTTAAATTCATTATTACATTATTGTGGCAGATCAAAAGACTGATATAGATTTAAAAAAGTGACTTTATAAAGTCATTTATTGTTTAACAAATCTCTCCAAATTGGCTGTTGAGCCCAAGTCTCCATGAATAAGAAACTGTTTGCTGTAAAGTAGCAAAGACGAGGAAATCTGAACATAATAACTTTTGTCGACTTAAAGACAATAAAAAGTCCAGTCTTTCCTTAACCATATTAAAAATATTATTGATAGAGAAATGCTTTATATATGAGATCACTGGTTTTAGTCCTGGTTTAGACCTGGTTTAGACCTACTTTAGTCCTACTTTAGTCCTGGAATGGATTAATCATGGTTTTAGTCCTGGTGTCAGTTCTGGTTTAGTCCTGGTTTAGACCTGGTTTAGTCCTGGTGTTAGTCCTGGTGTTAGTCCTGGTTTAGTCCTGGTTTAGACCTGGTTTAGACCTGGTTTAGTCCCTGGTTTTGTTCCTGGTTTAGACCTGGTTTTAGTCCTGGTTTTAGTCCTGGTTTAGACCTGGTTTAGACCTGGTTTAGAGTCCTGGTTTTAGTCCTGTGTGGTTTTTTGTGTGTGTGTGTTGTTGTCCCAGCAACGCATAAAAACAGGTTTTATAATAAAGAAACTCACATACAGAAACACTAAAGTTAGAGATTAAAAATGAGATTAACGCGATTAAAAAACATAACGCGCTAAATATGACTGTAATTAATTAATCGCAATTAACGCGATAATTTGACACCCCTAGTTTTTTTATGTTTTATGTTTGAAGTGGAGTCTGTTGAGTACAAAGCAGTGGGTGGAGATAGGTGGTAGGTGAAAACTGAACTTCTCTCTGCGCTCAAAGTCTGAATTTCCTGTAGGGGGACGATAATGTGCACTTTAATCCTGGAGCAGAACTCTTCCAGACATTGGGACGAGCGCGGCGCTGTGTTGTTGTCATTATAATCATGCTAATGTTCGCTAAATGCTAATGGAGGCGCAGGAAGCAGCTGTGCTCAAATGTCGGTGCTTTACTGCCGGCGCTTAACTTTATGTCTAAACAAACCTCTGTTCTGAGCCGGGCCAAAGCTGTTTCAAGCACTCGCTCTCGGAACATAATACCCAAGGACCTGCGTTTGTGGACAAGGTCGTTCCAGCTCGTTTCGTTTGTCTGTTGGGGGAAGTTTGCGCACGTCAAGAGATCTTCAGTTTTTAAGAACATTTATCACACTTATCACACTGAAAAAAACAACAATATCTCACTAAATTATAATAAGTAGATTCAACTTGACGAGTAAAATGATCTGCTAATGGAATAATTGTGCTTTTCTTCATTCAAGCAACGTTAGACTTTCCCTGCGTTCGATTTTCCTCCCGAATCGGTTTTCTGAGGAAGTTGCCGAGATTCTTTTTCTGGGACGGCGCGACTCGGACCTCGAAAAAATAGACAGAGCAAAGATTCTGAGTCAGAATCCAAGATGGCCACGTCCACTATATGAAGTGTTTTCATTGTGTTTGGACACTTTGGTGGTTTAAATCAGGTGTCCCCAACCCCTGGACCGGAACCGTATCATAGGGTCGTTTGGTACCGGGCCGTGAAAGTGCGACCCCCCACATACACTCCACTGCACCAGGACTAAACCAGGACTAAACCAGGACTAAACCAGGACTAAACCAGGACTAAAACCAGGACTAAACCAGGACTAAACCAGGACTAAACCAGGACTAAAACCAGGACTAAACCAGGACTAAAACCAGGACTAAAACCAGGACTAAACCAGGACTAAAACCAGGACTAAAACCAGGACTAAAATAAACCAGGACTAAACCAGGACTAAACCAGGACTAAACCAGGACTAAACCAGGACTAAAACCAGGACTAAAAACTAAAACCAGGACTAAAACTAAACAGGACTAAAACCAGGACTAAAACCAGGACTAAAACTAAAACCAGGACTAAAACCAGGACTAAAACCAGGACTAAACCAGGACTAAAACCAGGACTAAACCAGGAAAACCTAAAAGGACTAAACAGGACTAAAACCAGGACTAAAACCAGGACTAAACTAAAACCAGGACTAAACCAGGACTAAAAAAGGTCTAAAACCAGGACTAAAACAGGACTAAATCCAGGTCTAAAACCAGGATTAAAAACAGTTCTAAAACCAGGTCTAAACCAGGTCTTAAACAGATCTAAAACCAGGACTAAAACAGGACTAAAACCAGGTCTAAAACAGATCTAAATCCAGGTCTCAAACAGGATTAAACCAGGTCTAAACCAAGTCTAAAACCAGGACTAAAACAGGTCTAAAACCAGAATAAAAACAGGTCTCAAACAGGTCTAAACCAGGACTAAAACAGGTCTAAAACCAGGATAAAAACAGTTCTGAAACCAGGACTAAAACAGGTCTCAAATCAGGACTAAAACAGGTCTAAAACCAGGACTAAAACAGGTCTGAAACCAGGACTAAAACAGATCTAAAACTAGGACTAAAACGGGTCTGAAAACAGGACTAAAACAGGTCTAAAACCAGGACTAAAACAGGATCTAAAACCAGGACTAAAACAGGTCTAAAACCAGGACTAAAACAGGTCTAAAACCAGGACTAAAACAGGTCTAAAACCAGGACTAAAACAGGTCTGAAAAACAGGACTAAAACAGGTCTAAAACCAGATAAACTAAAACCAGGACTAAAACAGGTCTAAAACCAGGACTAAAACAGGTCTAAAACCAGGACTAAAACAAAACAAAAACAGGTCTAAACCAGGACTAAAACAGATCTAAACCAGGTCTAAACCAGGTCTAAAACCAGGACTAAAACAGGATTTAGCCAGGACTTAACCACCTGTCCAGCCCACCGCGCTTCCTCCCGTACACAATCCCACCCCGACTCCCACCGGTCCGCGAAATATTGTCTGAAATAAAACCGGTCCGTGGCACAAAAAAAAAGTTGTGGACCACTGTTTTAAATGACAGTTTCAGTCACTCGTATCTGCAGGACTTTACTGCGTCCGTATCGTCGCCTGTGGGTTTAGTAGTCGGTTTTGTGGTGAGACCAACATTGAACAAATATTTGATTGTGCTGACATCCCTAAGGTTGTACCGGAAGAGAAATCATAACATAAAATGAAGAGCAAATCTCAAAAATTAAAGTGGCAGCGAGGGAATAGTCATGATCATAATCTGAGGTCCACGTGGGAGTCGGAAGATAATCGAACGCGGCGCTAATTTCTTATTTTAAGTGCAGAAAGTTGTTGTACTACATGTTAAAAGAAAGTACTATGATTTAATATTGTTTTTTTATGATCGTTATGGGTTATATTTTTTAATTCTTCTTTATATATTCTGTCCAGTTTTTGTCAGAATCGGATGTGTAGATGTTTTCATAATAAGGGGCGCCGTAACGATCATTTAATTTCAGTTTTTTTGCCGTTTTGATGTTAAAAAATCAAATTAAAAACAGTTTTCATATATTTTAAAAAACTTAAATCAACTTTTGTCTTAGTGTCTTCTAACAGTCTTATCTGAGAGTTGGATGGAGCGTTTTTTTCGACATACGGCAAGGTCGTCGAAGAAAAACAAAAAAAATCAGTACATTCATATTTTAGGTAGAAAATGTCTTGTTCCACTGGCAAATACATTTACTTGTCAAGTGAAATTTACTCAAATCATGATAAAACTTTCTTAATTCAAGTCATTTTAACTTGAGATTTAGTTTTTTGCATCTCGTTTTTGTGGCTTTAAATGGCCTGCTTCACTCTTTTGTCTGATTTAGAATTTGGACTGACCAAAGGCTCCTACAAATGTGTTTTTTAAATCAATTTTGTATTTTTTTCTTGAGTTTTCAGACTATATTAATGTAGGCTGACCAGACGTCTCTATTTACCGGAACAGTTCCAGTTTTGTGTCCCCTGTCCCAGCAGATTTATCCCAAACCAGTGATTTGTCCCAGTTTTATACAAGAAATGTGCCAGGTATCCCTTTTTTTTTGACCAATCTGATCCCTGCCAACAGTAAAAAGACACTTACATTGTCATTTGTTTAGGTAAAATCCAGAAAATCTGCTTAAAAACGACAAAAACACAAAGAAAATGTGATTATATTGACTCACATTGGAGCCAAGTGCGTAACAATTTTCCTTAATGACACACTTTTTTCACAATTTTATTATTACCAACCACCACAAATGGTAGTTTTGTGTTATCATGGTAACTGCTGAACATTCCACAAGTAGACATAAATGTAGAACACCCCCAACATGAGGAAAACCCTGCAGTAGATTGGTGATGCCCGCAGACAGGAGGTGTGCACGACCGTAATAGAAACATCTGATCCATCACACAGCGCCCAATACTTCATCTTCCATCTCCCCCCCTCTCGATCCCTCCCTGACTGTGTACGCTGATGAAATCCCATCATGCTTTGCTTCCGTCTAACCCGGCTGTGTGTTTGTGTCCGCAGACGGCAGCTACAAGAAGATTGGATACTACGACAGCACCAAAGGCAATCTGTCCTGGTACGGCAACGACAAGTGGATCGGTGAGTGTCGGAACCCTATCCATCACTGTCCCCGCCCCGATCGCACTGTCCCCGCCCCCAGGTCACTGGCCCCGCCTCCAACTCACTGTCCCCGCCCTTAATCTCGATGTCCCCGCCTCCAGCTCACTGTCCCTGCCCTTAATCTCACTGTCCCTGGCCCAGAGTCCTGCACCGGGTCTAGTACCCTCAAATAGTTGCTGAAATGGGCGGGGTTTAATGTTCGGGAGTTTTACGGGCGGGTAGTGATTACATCCAGGCTGGTCAGGTGAATTAAATGAACGATGAACAAGAGAAAAATACCAGACGCACATCGAGGGCGTCCGTTGCCCTCGAAACAAGTGACATTTCCCGTCTTTTCCTGGAACAATGGCAGACCAGGGGCTGTCTTGGCAGCCAACACAGGTGGATCGGTGCAGCGTCTGCAGTGATGCGGTCGCTGTATTGGACCGTTGTGGTGAAGAGGGAGCTGAGTCGAAAGGCGAAGCTTTCAATTTACCATCAGTCTCTGTTCCTCCCCTCATCTACGGTCATGAGCTCTGGGTAATGACCGAAAGGACGAGATCACGGATACAAGCGGCTGAAATGAGTTTTCTGCGTCGGGTGGCTGGGCGCTCCCCTAGAGATAGGATGAGGAGCTAGAGCCCCTTCTCCTCCACGTTAAGAGGAGCAGCTGAGGCTCGGTCATCTGTTCCTATACCTCCTGGGCACCTCCCTCAGGAGGTGTTCCGGGCATGTCCCACTGGAAGGAGGCCCCAGGGAAGACCCAGGACACGCTGGAGGGACTGTGTCTCTCAGCTGGCCTGGAAATGCCTCAGGGTCTCCCCAGAGGAGCTGGAGAAAGTGTCCGGGGTGAAGGAAGTCTGGCAGTTCCTGCTTAGACTGTTGCCCCTGCGACCCGACCCCGGATTGATGGATGGCAAACCAAGCTGAGAGAGTGACTTTAGTGTATTTATTACATAAAACTGTCAGTGGAGGTGACTGGCTCAGCTAGTCCTGATTTAGACCTGCTTCAGTCCCAGTTTAGTCCGGTTTAGTCCTGGTTTAGTCCTGGTTTTGACCTGGTTAAGTCCTGGTTTAGTCCTGGTCCAGTCCTGGTGTAGTCCTGGTGTAGTCCTGGTGTAGTCCTGGTGTAGTCCTGGTGTAGTCCTGGTCCAGTCCTGGTGTAGTCCTGGTGTAGTCCTGGTGTAGTCCTGGTGTAGTCCTGGTAGTCCTGGTGTAGTCCTGGTCCAGTCCTGGTGTAGTCCTGGTGTAGTCCTGGTGTAGTCCTGGTGTAGTCCTGGTCCAGTCCTGGTGTAGTCCTGGTCCAGTCCTGGTGTAGTCCTGGTGTAGTCCTGGTGTAGTCCTGGTGTAGTCCTGGTGTAGTCCTAAGTCGAGTCCTGGTGTAGTCAGTGGTCCTGTGTCAGTCCTGGATTCTGATTTAACTTTGGTATAATCATGGGTTAACGGGCGTGTGTGGTGCTGTACTGTGCGGGTACGGGCTGGTGCGGGTCTCCAAAAATGGACTCGTGCAGGACCCTGCCCTCGCCCTAATCTTACACTGATCCTGCTCCCAGGTCACTGTCCCCACCCCTAATCTCCTGCTCCCCCTGACCTGGCACCCTCAGCCCGCACACTGCACCCTACATCTGTACACATCCATCAACGCTGAAAGTATGACACGACTAAAGTAGGACTAAACCACGACTAAACTAGTTCTGCATCAGTACTTAAACCAGGTCTACCCAGGACTCTTCTAGGTCTAATCTCCTGTTCTCTCTGACCCAGCGCCCTTCATCTCTACAGTCATCCATCAACACTGAACATATGACACGACTAAACCAGGACTAAACCAGGTCTACAGAGGGACTAAACCAGGTCTAATCTCGTGCTCCCTCTGACCCGGCGCCCCGTTTACTCCCTTCTGTCTACATCCGTACACTCATCCATCACCACCGAACATATGACACGAGTCTGAAGCTCTCGAGGGTCGTGCACACACTCTGCTCACCGCTTCAGCCGCGCTCGGACCCTCCACAAATATCAAACATCTGCAATCAGAAAGCGTTCGTCGTGAGCAGGTAATCACAGCTCCTAAACACGAGGAAACGGCAAAACACTGACGCACGGAGGAGCCCAAATTCAACCCGATGTTCACAAAAAGATAAGATTTGTGTGAAAATCTGCCGGAAAATCTCAGTTTAAGACCATCTAAACCAGGCCTAGAACAGAACTAAACCAAGACTAAACCAGATCCAAATCAGTCCTGCACCAGAGCAGCTCACCTCACACTGCAAAAACTAAAATAGCCAAGTTAAGATTTCTTCAATTTTACTTAACAAGCAAAATTATCCACTTTTTGTAGTTAAAATATAAAAATACGTCCTGCTTCACTTTCATTCAGTTTATTTATTTCGGTCACAGGTATATTTTGACATTAATTCATAAACAGTCATATTTAACATATACAGACCGAAAAGGTGCAGGCTGAAGCTTAAGCTTATTATGCCTTTACCCTTTATTCCTTTGTCAGAGCTTCATCTTGACACCAGTTCATCTTCATAAATACAGCAGGAAGAAACAAACTAATCAGTAACAGAACAACAAAGTTCTACAGCACAAACTAAGTCTCATATTTCATGTATCTGTCCAGAGTTAAACATTTAAACTTCTTTATGAAGTGAAAGAAAGTGGTGCACAATTTTAGGTTTTCTGTACAGTTGTTCCAGAGCTCCACCCCTTTAACAGATTTACAAAATTTCATAATGTTTGTTCTGATTTTCTTTTTAATAAACATGGTCGTGCCTCTGAGCTCATATCGGCTCTTTCGGATTTTGAACATGTTCTGTAACGATTTCGACAGGAGATTGTTGTTTACTTTGAACATGATTTTAAGAGTATAAAGGTCGACTAAATCGTAACATTTCAGCGTTTGAAAGTTTATAAATAATGCATTAGTTGGTTCGTTATAAGTTGATAATGTGATGCTCTTATTGCCTTTTTTTGCAGGGTAAAGATTGGCTTTGTATTCGTCTTATATGTATTGCCCCAAATCTCAATACCGTAGGTTCTGTCGGGCCTTACCAGCGAGTTATATATATAATAAAAGACTGTTTTTATCTAGGGTATATCTATATTTATATATAATTGCGATCACTTTGGATAGTTTGTTCCTAATTGTATTTATGTGTGATTTCCAGTTTAAATTATGATCTATGGTTATTCCTAAAAATTTATTTTGAAAGACTCTTTCTAGTGGTGGATTATTGAGCATAATTTGTACATGATTTTGTACTTTTCGCTTTGAAGATGCATTGTGTACAAGGTTCCTACTCTTTTTCACTAACAAAATTTCAATATTTTCCTTGATTTTTTCACGACCTAAAGTGAATTTTCCAGGACTTTACAGCACCTACATGTGTAAAATTGATCAGACTTTTAGGGCTAAATATGAAATGTTAACTCTTTCCACTCACCTTATGGTTTGGGATTATAGTTTTTTTAACATTCAAAATCCTGTCAGTGCATTTATTGTCGTCTCTTTTACACAAAAGGCGCAGACGTTCAGAAATAATCAGAATAGTCTAATGAGAACTTAACAAAACGCTGTAGTTACTTAAAAGGGATACCGTATTTTCCGGACTATTGAGCGCACCTGAACATAAGCCGCAGGTGTCCACGTCTTCAAGAACGTTTTCAAGTTCGCTATCATCTACTTTTATCGCCTCTGAAAGCTTTTGTCGTCTTTTTGCGTTGAGTCAGTTCGTCAAAATCTCACCATCGACTCACCGATGTCGAGTTCACGTGCAGCAGCTCTGTTTCCTTCTTCCACAGACACATTAATCACCTTTAACGTAAAAGCTGCATCATCTGCATTTCTTCGTGTGTTTTCCATGAGGAGGGTGTGTGTATGAAGCGCGAAATAACTGTTCAAAACACAATCAAACGAGCATCTTTCCCCGCGCTCTACTGCTCATGTCTCCTGCAGAAAGAGTCTCTGTTCTGTCTGTATCGTGTCAGTGTCTTGGAGGATTTCAGCAGATTTCAGACTCTCTCGGGGGCGGGGTTAGTTCTGTCAATCAGGTCTGAGTGGATGTTTGGCTACTGAAGTTTGAGACGTTTCTTCTCGTCATTGACCCAGCTCGTTGGGGTGAGGGAAGTAACAAAAATAAAACCAAGATGTAAAATGGAATAAATTAAATAATGTTTAATTAACAGGAAGGTAAAGGTAAATTAACAAAAGACTAAAAATATACAGAAAACAACCTAAACTAAGAAACAGAACAACAGAATAAACAGAGTTTTGTGCCAGAAAAGGGGTCACGCAGGTTTACAAAAAACAAGTGGTAAAACTTAGGGACGCACACTAAACTAAAACACAAGTTCCCCAAATTAAACCACATAAACCCACAAACAGAATCGAGTGACCAAATCAAAAAAAGCACAAAACAGAACTAGACTAAACTACACACACATGAAACAAAATGCAGACTGACCACCAAGCCAGCAGCCCCGATCAGGTGCTGGTCATCTCCTTAAATAGGGGGCGGTGGCTGCAGGTGAGGTGGGCGTCGACCTGCCCCACCAATCACGGACCAGGGCTCCTGCAGCAGGAATCAAAAGAACTCAGCAAAAATTACACAAACAAATTAGAACTAAAGCCTGGGGCCGTAACAGTCATTTACACAAACGGGTAAGACGTATCCCCCTCACTAATGTTCATTTAAGATCATAACTTATTTTATTGCACGGCGATAAACTATTTGAGTGCCCTCACAATATTCCGAGCTGGTGTAGAAACTTCACGTGAACCCTAGATCCATGTGTAAATTGCACAGACAGCGGCGTTTTCTGCACTCAGATTGAAAACGCCAAACCGTAGACCGTATTTATAAACGGACAATGAGCCAAACAAAGAATCCGTCCGTATATTCGCCGCATCGTTTTATTCGCCGCAGGGTTCAACGTGTGACAAAAAGTAGTGGCTTCTAGATTTTAGTACCGGAATTTACGGTACTAAAATC